AAAAAGACATCTGCACCCAAATATTTATCACAGGACGATTCACATGGAACCAATCTAAGTGTCCATGGTGTATCTACACCAGGGAGTACTACTTAACCAAAAAAGGAAGGAAATAATGTCATTTGTGGCAACTTGGATGGAACTGGATACCATATCCGAAGTGGAGTAGCTAAGGAATGGAAAAACAAATACCATATGCTCTCACTAATACATGGGAGCTAAACAATGGGTGTACACAGTCACAGAGAGACACAGAAGACACTGGAAACCGAGAAGCAGCGAGGGTGGGCGAGGGCGTGTGTGGTAAAACCTTAACTATGGAGTGTATGAACACTATTCTGGTTACAGACTCACCAAAGCCCTGACATCCATGTAAACAAAAATATTTGTACTTCTTTAATAATTAGACATTTTAAAAAATACCTTAATTAAGTGCTATGTTATAATCCTTTGTTATTTCTTTCTTTTCCTCTTTTTTTAATACATAAAATTTTTATTTGTCCGTTAAAGAATCAGCGCAGACATCAAGGATGCTCAAGAGATGAGCGACATCTTTGGAACCCCCACCAGGGGGACTTTAATTACATATGTATGTAAGAAGATGGTTTTCCATTTTAAATTTTATTAAAGTACAGAGTTAACAAGTTTTGCGTTTTTTACATAGGAAAATACTAGTCAATTTCATATGCTTTATAGAAAAATTAACATTCAAAAAACATATAAATCCATAATGAGTTTCATGACTTAAGGGGAAAAATAACTATTTTAGCAAGTTAGCAAAATTCTAACCATATCAGAGACTGTTATAAATTTCAGACAGTAGCTCTACCACACATACTGCATTTTCAAATTCTAATATACCAAAATGTAACCATACAATTTGGCTACAGCTAGTTGTTCTGAAAAATTTAAAAAATTAACAGTTTTATCTATAACAATCCTCTTAAATTTCTTATAAATGGCCCTCAAGACATGTATTACCCAACTGCTGTAAGCTTTCTTTACCTGAGAGAATTTCCCAGGATCCTTTATCTCAAAGGATTACCTTAAAAGAATTCTGTCATTTAACAACCCTTCTATAGTAAAAGAATGAAACATACACATTCTTAATTCACCCTTCCCCCATTTAAGTGTTTCTTGGAAGGAATTTTTTTTTTTTTTAAAGAAATAGTCTTTGGCAAATAAAGCCAAATATTTCAACCTTTCAAAATGACTACCTCTGTGGATGATTAACTAAGGAACAAGAGAGAGAGAGATCTAAAGACCAGTGTGAACAGCTCTCCAGTTCTGTGAAATCAAAGCTCCAACGTGAGAGAACCTACCTCTACCTGAAATGCAAAACTAAGTTTATTGGCAAATTAGCAAGCCATGGAGAAGATCCTACAGAGAGCTCTGTGAGCCACATGGCTACTGCACTGTCTTTGATGAAGGAGGGCCCACTGTCCTTTCTGGACTGGTCCCCTCCTCGCTGTAGGTTAAACCTTCTTTCATTTCAAAGAGGTACAGGACCTAAGTGTGCACCACAAGGAGATACTATTTAGAAAGGCAGTAAATGGAGGGAAAGGCCCTGATAGCTTAAAGGCAGGCTCTGGAATTCCCTCTTCAGGGTAACATAAAGCACCAATGGGGGTAAACTTAGGTAAAAACTAAATTAATACATCATCTTAAAAAGGCAGAGGGTGATAATTTGGGGGTAGGGTTGGGGAACTGACACTACACTGAGGTCATTTGTAAGGAAGCATCCTCTGAGGAACTAGAAAGAAGCAATGTCGTATGAGACTGGACCCCAAAGCCCCAATAACCCCACCCTCCGTCCAGCCTCAGATACACAGTCTATGTCCTCCACAAAGAAGCTTCAAATATCTCTGGCAAACAATGACTTTAGACAATTTCCCAAGAAACTGCGAGGACAAAACAAAACCAACCAAACAATATTAAACAAACAAACCAAAAAACCTCAACCAGGTAGGAGAGTGATAGGGTTTCCAAAGGCTTATAATAGGATGATCCCAGTCTCCAGCTAGGTGACACATTTAGGGACAACACTCCTCTCAGTCAGTGTTTATCCCCAGTACTCATGAAAAAGAGGGAAAAACTTTATGCTGCCAATGAACGACACAAAGAAAACATACATGATTCTTAAAAATCTTCAACTGTCCTGAGCACATGAGAATGCACTTTTAAAATCCTATAACATTACAATGAACTGCAGGAATGAACGGTCTACTGTTTATTTATTTATTTATTTATTTATTTATTTTTGAGACAAGAGTCTCAGCTATCACCTCGGGTAGAGTTCCATGGCATCACAGCTCACAGCAACCTCCAACTTTTGGGCTCAAGCAATCCTCTTACCTCAATTTTTCTGTTTTTAATAGAGATGGGGCCTTGCTCTTGCTCAGGCTGGTCTCAAATTCATGAGATCAAGCAATCCACCCACCTCAGCCTCCCAGAGTGCTAGGATTACAGGCATGAGCCACTGCGTCCAGCCTAGGTCTATCATTTTATAAGTTACAGTGAGTTGATCAAATTAACACCCTTATTATAGCAACTCAAAGCAATGGACACAACTTTCCCAGTTTCTTAAATGACAACAGCACAGAAATAGAGGTTCTTGAAGCCTATGAATGTTGACTCATCACCTGAGTAGTGTATCTCACAATGAATGAGCATGACTGTCCTCTTATTTATATGCCCTCTGTCCCCACAGTACATCCGCCTCTCTGTCAATCATCCAAACTTGCTAATATTGTCAGTTGAGAATAAAAATCAGAGCAATTGTAACTCTTCCTCTTGCATCAGAACCACCTTCAGAAGAAACTGTATGCCACAAGACTTACACACCTAGAAAATGTGGGCTGGCTGGGCTGGCCCTGCTGGCCCCAGAAGGAAGCTACAAGGGCCTTCCACTGGCAACAGTCCCTTCTTTGTGTTTCCCTGAGCTTCTTTCTGCAGAGGAAAGGGGGCTAACAAAGGCCAGCCGAGGAATACATGGCCTTGTCAGCTCAACCTTGACCTGGTGGAAGGGCTAGTTCCAGAGTCACACCAGCTGGCTGCCAGACTCAGCTGAGAAGACAAGTCAAAGACTCTACTTGTCACCAGCAGGAGAGAAACATATCGTGCCAGTTATGCCACCATCCTGGCTCTTGATTTGCCTTTCTCATAGTGTTTCCTGAAGACAATCTTGGCTCACCTAGAGCCCCACGTCACTGTACCACCCGTTGTGTGTGACATACAGCCCTGCTCTCCAAGCCTCATCCTGGCCATGGAGCTTCCACCCCCGCTGACCTAACTAAAGTGTCTCAGGTTGGCACAGGGCTATTCATTTTGAGAATCCAGATGGATCTTTGAACTGCTGCATACAAAGAGCTCCTGCCTTCACAAAGAAATCTGATGAAAGTTTACCCAACGTGAATCTCTTACACTGAGTGCCTTTTAAAATTGAATCTCAAATACTCTAAAAAATAAGGGAAGTTCTAAAGGAATTAATCCCCGGGATTTGCTTCTCCCTTGGTTTTTCTTGAGAGGAGGGTGAAGGAGTAGAAATGAAGAATCTGACTAATCTCCCCCACCAGCATTGGCACACGGGAGCCCGGCTTACGTGGGCTCCAAACTCATACAACAGGCCACAGAAAAGACATGTAGGCTGAGTCTTTTTAATTCCCAAACCCTCACTTCCAGGGAGCTCTAGAAGATTCTTTCTACCCTACATGAAATACTAACAGGCGAGCCCCCACAGTGTCTCTACTGGTGTCTTTAATGGACTTTCCACTTGCATGCCTCTTTCCTAATGAAGAACATCAACACTGAGAGTGGACATATTCCTGGCTAGCTGCTGCAAGTCTCTGTGAGCGTTACTTTACAAGTATGTCTTGTGGAAGATTCTGCGGAGATTGTGTAGGGCTAATTAAATATCCCCAACCACCCACGCTTTCTGTAAGTATATTGGTCCCTTTCACAGCTTGTCTAACAGCTGCTTGTGACTGAGGGCTGTCTGAGGCTGCCTGGGATCCTCACCTCAGGAAATCTACTCCAAGGAAACTATAATGGTCCCATTGAAGATTGGGAAAACCAAAGCTCTTTTGCTTCGACAATTTCAAAGGCTTCAAAGGGGAGGAGAAACCAAGGGGCCAACCTTAGCCACTGAAAGAGGGGTATGGCGTCTTTTCAGTGAAGGTCCTCAGAGCATATGGCGTACAGCACTACCCAGTGAGAATTTCAGCCCTCTGTCACTTAGGTAAAGAAAACATGAGCCTCATTCTCTGATCACATGAAGAGCGACACGAGCAGGTCACGTTTACTGAGGTGATTTGGATCAGGTGGTGATAACGCAGTGGAGAACCACGCGGGGCAGATGGAGCAAATTGTGCCTTTTCACATTATTACAAAGATGCAGAGCCTGGAAGGATGAGGAGACCCCTGGGGAGGAGTCGGGGCGGTGATTCCCAGCATTACAGCCTTGAGGGAAACGCTGGCAGCCACAGGGAAGCAGCTTGTACCCTATAAATACCAGGGGCCCTGCAGGTGACACATGTCCTATGCTCAAAGCCCACCGAGGACAAGGCCCCAGGAAACCCGACTGAGAGGGGCTTGGGGGCTCAAACTCTGGCACATTTTCCTAGTCCAAGAATGAGAATGGCAGGCCAACAGGGACGGTTTTTATCCCTGTGAAAAAAAGTTGTATCCCTCCCCCCAAACTTTGTTTTGGAAAAAAAAAAAAATGTAGGGGGAAAATACCACAACATTAACTACGATCTGGTTCCCAGCAGTAAGACAACCAAGAATATATATTATCACCTACCATCAGTCTGGTTGAATATTTCAAATCCTTTGGGGCAAACTGGTAATTTCTTTTCAAATTTTAAAAACTAAAAAACTAATCAGGAGATTTTTTTCTGGAAGCCTTTTCGGACCCACTCAAGCACTGGAACCCCCACTGTTCAAAGGATGGCACTTCTGGGCTGCAGGCCTGCTGAGCCAAGGGCACACTGCTGATGGCCTCACACAGAGAAATGTGGAGAAGGGCGGCACAGAGGGGTGACCAGTGTCCCCAGGTACAGCAGCACACACATCCAGCAGGAGGTCATCTTGACCCAGAAGATGGACCAGCTCCCGTTGAAGAAGGCTTCCAGGTACGCGCTTTCATAGTTGAACCAGCTGGTGATGGTCATCATCACGTAGAGGGAAGCCAAGAAGAACATGAAGTGGAAGTAGGAATAGTTATAGACGGTGCCTCTCTTCTCGTCATAAATGATCCTTAATCTGTCCTTTACCTGCTGCTCGTCTTCAGTGTCCTCTCCATCTGGACCGAAGCAAAAACAACACCGAGCTCCTTCCAGTTCAGCGGCTGCATATCGCTCCTGCAGAGCGTCAGAACTTGATCTTCTTGTTGATGTCAAACAGGAATACAAGATGCATCCAAGCAAGAGGAAAATACCCAGTCCGGTGTCCAAGTCTTCATCTCTGTCTAGGTCTTGACCAAAGTTGGGCACACAGATGGTAACATTCCTCCTGTGTTCATCTAGAACTATGTCTACCGGTTTGCTGGTCAGAGCTGAGAAGGTGAGGTAGGTGACATAACAGCTTATGAGCCCCGACTGCAGGAGCCCCGAGTGCGGCTGTCGCTCTTGGACCGAGGGTGAGATGGCTACTATTGCGATAAGCAGACACAGGCCTCCATTGATCCCCAGGAGAATTTTGTTTTCCAGGCAGCCGACTTCTTCTGTATAAAAAATTGCCATCAAAATCAAGCCTGCAGCAGCAATGGAATACATGAGGAGGGTCGCCAGGGCCAGAGCGGCGTACCACAGCTTGTTACCGGCTGCGCCTGCAGTCCATTTCTCGTTCCACTCACGTGTGAATTGCACGATCAGGAAGAGCTGAATGCATATAAAGAGAAAGCCTCCCACGGCTCCCACATAGCGCCAGGTGTTCAGAAAGGTCTCCTGATCTGAGATGAAGAAAGCTCCTGAGCACAGGGCCACCAATAGCAGGAATTTAGAAAACCAAAACCCATTGTGAATCTGAGCCCTACAACTTTTGCTGTCGCTGATGTTCAAGGTCAGTAGACAGAAGATGAAGAAGAAACAAGCCATTCCAAAACAGACTCTATACACTGCAGAATAGCCCGCCAGATTCCCGCAGGTGTCACCAGCCTTAGTGTCTTCACACATATCTTCAAAAAAAGGAATCTGCTCTCTCATCTCGTTAGCCACGGTTTTGGACATCATGATGCAACAGAGGCTTACGACCAGGATGAAGTAGAAGGCGTACATGCAGCGTGTGCTCCGGGACTGTCGGATCTTGGGGCAGCAGTAGCAGCAGCACAGGGAGCAGCCTGCAAGCGTACAGCACCACCCAGCAGTCATCCCGGCGGCCGAGCGTAGGGGAGCGCCCGCTGGCGCCGCTGCGGACGGCAGGCTCCCGAGCGCCCGGAGCGCCCCTCTGCGCCGCGGCTCACGCCCCAGCACGGAGCAGCCCCAGCCGAGTCATACAATCCTTTGTTATTTCACAAAAAGTAAGGAAACACACTAAGCGTCAGCAATAGCAAACTTGCCGGTATTTCAGTGGTACTGAGTTCAAAAAAATTCCTCTCCTTTAGAGGTAATGATTATTTGATTTTAAAAAGGTGAGTGGAATGGTGGTTTTAAAACATGCCTACAAATTGCTTGACAATTCTGCTGTGAAATTTTCTCTTCTGAGTATGAAGTGGCCTTAGTAACTGGCTTCTGCTGAATGTATACAGCAGAACCGCTGTGCTATTTGTAAGGTTACGTTAGAAAAATGTGACACAGCTTATACCTGACTGTCTCTCCTTAAGGAAGCTTGTCCTTAGGACCCAGCCACTGCATTGTAAGACACATCATGTGGTGAATCCGCAAGTACTCAGTAGGAATGTGTGCTTCTGTCCGGTGGGAAGAGTATAAAGTCCATGTAGCCAGGGTGTACATTGTGCTGGTGTTAAAACATATCCACACAGTCTTTAATCTTTATGACAGAGATAGAGACATCATCAACATGGCTGATGAAGACACGCAGACCTTGCCTTTCCAAGAAAAGGACCCACACACCAAATAGATAACCACGGTTTGAATAAAGCATCTGGAAAAAACACCAGGCTTCCACAGGGAAGTGACAGGGACCCTCTGAGGGATGGAAGAAAAAGGAAGTGAAGCAGTCTGATTGGCCAGGATTAGCTGGGTGACAGACAGCCTCCTCAAGGTGGGGATAAGGTAAACAAGAGATCCCCAGTAATCCACGTGTCCACCAAAGATACCTGCAACCCTAGTCACAGGCGGGCCCTCAGTCTTAAGGGCCCTGGACCTAGTACCTGCCTGGAGCCCACATGACTGCATTGTTCTGGAGAGGGAATTCATGTTGAATCTCACTCACCTATCCTCCCCCTGCCAAGGCACAACATGCTGTAGCACAGTGCTTTTAAGAGCCCAACCCACATCAGACTACATCCTGTCCTGGGGCCTGACGGGCCCTGCACCTCCACATTTCTGGAGCAGCACTGACATTTTCTGATGTCCCCTGAGAGGTCTATAGCATTATGACCAGCTGGACCCAGCACTATAGCTGGGTCTCGAAAACTCTAGCCCACACAGCATCCTACACAAGAGCCTGGGACTAGATGGTCTAGCCCACAAAAAAAGCTGCCCCAGGATGATAAGAGCCAAAATGGGTGCTTCACAGAGCCTTGAGGCCACCTGCCTGAGACCACTGCCAATGATAGTAACCCTACCTCCTGTTGCATCAGGGCCTCCATGCACCTGTTCATACCTTATAGGGCTTGAGAACCAGCCCACTCATGTGTAGCATCAATGACCCTGAGAACAAACCTTCCCAAACTGCTCTGGCCAGTGACTATGTACCTCAGAAGAGCCTGAAGACAAAGCCAACACACTTGCTGCTTCTCCATCACCCCCACACACAATCCAGGACCCTCAAGATAAAACCACCTTGCCCAGACTTACATGCATTCTGGTTCCAAAGAACAGGCCTGCTCTATCCATCACCATCACCACTGGTGCCTATGGTCTGGAACCCTGAGGATTGGCCAGCCATGCATGCTGCTGCTGGTGCCTGTCTGAGCATCTGAGGACAGTCCCATAGCCCTCCTGTCACCTATGCCTCCCATCTGGGGGCCTGAGGACAGGCCTTTCCTATCTACTGCCATCTCTACCTATTCAATGAACCACCCAAGGGGTTTCAAAACACAACAGGAAAGTTGAGCAACAGATTAAGCCAAGGAGAAGAAAGAATCTCAGAGCTTAAAGACAAGACTCTTGGGCTAACCCAATGATTTAAAGAGGCAGAGAAGAGAAGAACTAAAGTAAAGCAATCACTCAGAGACATATGGGATTATACAAAGCAAATGAACATACAAATTATAGGCAGAGAGGCAGAGGGAGGGAGAATAAAAGAGTAGTAAAAATATGGAAAAATAGGGCGGTGCTTGTGACTCAAAGGAGTAGGCACTGGCCCCATATACTGGAGGTGGTGAGTTCCAACATGGCCCCGGCCAAAAACTGCAAACAACAAAAACAACAACTATATATATATATATATATATATGGAAAAATTATTTAAAGACATTATTGAAGAATGCTTCAAGCATCCAGATACAAGATGGTCATTGAAATCCAGCGAGATACATAGCAAAAAGATCATCTTCAAGACACATTGTAATTAGCCTAGCCAAATTCAAAATGAAAGAGAAAATTTTATAATCAGCCAGACATAAGCAAGAACTGACTTATGAGAGAAAACCCATCATAAAAGCAGACTTCTCAGCTGAAACTTTGTAAGCCAGAAAGGAGTGGGCCCCCATCCTCAATATGAAACAAAACAACTGCCAGACTAGAATTTTGTATCCTACAAAACTAAGATTCACATTTGATGGAGGAATTAAGACTTTCTCTGATGAGCAAACATTTTGAAAAAAATTATCATTACTAATCCGGCTCTTCAGGATGTTCTCATCTGTATTACACATGGATTAGCACAATAGACTCCCACCAGTGTAAAATTACCCAGATGCTAAAGGTCAAAGCTGAGATACCCCAAATGGCCCAAGAGGTAAATCAAGCTTCAAAGCTTTGCACAAGATAAACAGAAATATACTCTACTTATCAACTCTCAATAAATGTGAATGGTTTGATTGCCTTACTGAAGAAACAAACAAACAAATATAAACCAAGGATCTGCTATCTCCAGGAAATGCATCTAATCCACAAAGACTCATTCTATCCAAAGTGAAGAGATGGAATATAATTTTCCATGCAAAAGGCAATGGAAAGAAAGCTGATGTAGCTATTTTCATTGCAGATAAAAGACTTTAAATCAGTAAAAGTTAAGAAAGACAAAGGCAGTCATTATATACTGGTGCAAGAAACAATTCAGCAATTCAAACATAACAATCCAACACAGGTATAGCCAGATTTATTAAGCAAACCCTGATTGACCTAAATAAAATGACAAACAGCAGTATTATAATAGTTGGGGACTTCAACATCCCACTAACAGGATGGAGCAGATCCTCCACACAGAAAATAAAGAAACAACAAACTTAAACATGATTCTAGAATATATGAGCCTAACAGACATTTATAGAACATTTTATCCCAAAACTACATAATATACATTCTTCTTATCAGCTCACAGATCAGTCTCTAAGATAGATCACATCCTAGGCCACAAAATATGTCTCAACAAATGGAAATTATACCATGTATCTTCTCAGATCACATGAAATAAAATTAGAAATCAGGCTCAACTCCCATAGCTAAGTGGTTAGAGCTCCAGCCACATACACTGGGATTTATGGGTTCAAATCCAACCCAGCCCTGCTAAACAACAATGACAACTACAATAAAAAAAAAATAGCCAGGAGTTGTGGCAGGCTTTTGTAGTCCCAGCTACTTGGGAGGCTGGGGCAAGAGAATCACTTAAGCCCAAGAGTTTGAGGTTGCTATGAGCTGTGATGCCAGGGCACTCTACCAAGGGTGACATAGTGAGACTCTGTCACACATACACACACAAAAAAATAGAAATCAGTTCCAACAGAAACATTCATCTCTCCACAAAGTCATAGATCATAAACAACCTATTGCTGAATAATAGTTGAGTCAAGGAGGAGAAAAAGATGGAAATAAAAAGATTCTTTGAATAAAATGATAATGGGACACAAGTTATAAAAATCAGTGGAACACAGCAAAAGGAGTCATGAGAGTAAAATTCATAGTCTTAAAGGATCACATCTAAAACATAAAGATCACATACAACCTTCTGAATCATCTCAAGGAACTGGAAAAGGAAGCACAAACCATTCCTAAACCCAGTAGAAAAAAAGAAACAACCAAAATCTGAGTAGAACTAAGTGAAATCAAAAATCAAAGAACTATACAGAAAATTAATAAAACAAAAAATTTGTTCTTTGAAAAGATAAACAAAATGGATAGGCCTCTTGCTAGGTTATCCAAAAACAGAAAGAAAGGGACGTTATTAAGCCCAGTCAGAAATGAAAAAGGAGAAATCACAACCAATACCACAGAAATCAAAAACATCAGTCTTGAGTGCTATAACAATCTCTATGCTCAGGAACTTGAAAACATGGAGGAAACTGATAAATCCTTGGAAACACATAGCCTCCCTATGCTCAACTAGGAAGAAATAGAATAAGTCAGACCAATATCAAGCACCAAAATCACAGAAGCAATAAAAAATCTTCAAACTCAAAGCAATCCTGGAACAGATGGTTTCACACATGATTTCTATCAAATTCACAAAGAACTGGTACCTATACTGCAGAAAGTGTTCCATATTATTGATAAGAATGGAATCCTCCCAAACCCATTCTATGAAGCCAATATCACTTTAGTACCAAAGCCAGAAAAGGTAACAACTATAGAAACTATAGAAATAAGACTATAGACCAACATTCTCTATGAATATAAATGCAAAAATTCTCAATAAAATCTTAGCAAACCAAATCCAACTGCACATGACCAGCTGGCGTTCACATTAGAGATGGTTCAACGTTTGCAAATCTCTACATGTAATTCACCACATAAATAGAAACTGAAAGAAAGACCACACAATCCTCTCAATAGACACAGAAAAATCATTTGACAAAATTCTAGTCTTTTATGATAAGAAATCTCAACAAAATAGGCATAGATGGGACTCACCTCAAAATGGTTAAAGTCATATGTGACAAATCCACAGTCAACATCACAATGGATGGGAAAAAATTGAATGCATTCCCTCCTAGAACTAGAACCAGATAAGGTTGCCCACTATCACCACTTCTATTCAACATAGTGCTGGAGTCAGCCATAGCAAATCAGATATGAGAAGAAAATTAAGGGATCCAAATGGGGAAAGAAAAGGTAAAATTATATCATTGCTGATGATATAATCTTCTTTTTTTAGGCTTTTTTTTTTTAATATGTAATGCTTCATGAATTTACATGTCATCCTTGTTCAGGGGCCTTGCTAATCTTCTCTGTATCCTTCCAATTTTACTATATGTGCTGCTGAAGTAAGCACAATGATATAATCTTATATCTAGAAAAACCCCAGGAATTCAACAGAGACTCCTGGAGTTGATAAATTCAGCAAAGTTTCAGGTTAAAAAATCAATTGTGCACATATTAGTAACTTTCATATATGTCAACAAAGTCAAGTTGAGGATCAAATCAAAGATGCAATACCTTTCATAGTACCAACAAAGAAAATAAAATACCTAGGAATATATTTAACCAAGGAGGTGAAAGACGCTTACAGAGAAAATTAAGAAACACTTGAGGAAAAGTTGCAAAGCACATAAACAGATGGAAAAACATATCCTGCTCATGGATAGGCAGAATCAACATTACCAAAATGGTTATACTACCCAAAGTGATTTATAGATTCAGTGAAATGTATTGAATATTCATTTCCTCATTAAAATGCCAATAACATTTTCTGGAGATATAGAAAAAATTGTTCTACACTTCTAATGGAACCAGAAAAGACCCTAAATAGCCAATGCAACCTTACACAATAAGAACAAATCAGGAGGCATCACTTTACCAGACTTTAAGCTATATTACAAAGTTATAATAACCACAAAGCATGGTATTGACATAAAAACAGAGGCACAAACCTATAGATCAGAACAGAGAACACAGATCTGAAACTACCCTCATATTGCCATCTAGTCTTTGACAAAGAAACAAAAACACACACTAGGAAAGAGAATCCCTGTTCAACAAATGGTGCTGGGAAAATTGGATAGCCACATGTAGAGGACTAAAACAGAACTGTATCTCTCACTATTCACAAAAATTAATTAACAGTGGATAACAGATTTAAACATGAGGCATGAAACTATAAGAATTCTAGAGAAAATGTGGAAAAAACTCTTACATATATCAGTGTAGGAAAAGAATTCATGAGGAAAACTCCCAAAGCAATCCCAGCAACAACAAAAATAAATAAATAGGACCTGATTAAATTAAAAAACTCTGGACAGCCAAGGACACAATCAATAGAGCAAATAGACAACCTAGAGAATGGGGGAAATATCTGTATGCTATACATCTGAGAAAGGACCAATAACTAGAATCTACAAAGAACTTAAGCAAATCAGCAAGAAACAACCAAACATCCCCATTCAAAAGTGGGCCAAAGACATGAACAGAAACTTTTCAAAAGAAGATATGCTAAAAGGTCTCTAAGCATGAGGGAAATGCAAATAAAAACCAACACAATATTGTCCAACTCCAGTGAGAATGGATTGTAATTGAAAAGCCCCAATACAACAGATGCTGGTGTGGATGCAGAGAGAAAGAAACTCTTATACAATTTATTAATCCATTCATGAGTTGATGGGCACTTGGGCTTCTTCCATGACTTGGCAATTATGAATTGAGCTGCAATGAAATAATAAATTGTGGTATATGTATACTATGGAATACTAAGGAGCATTAAAAAAAATGAAGACTTTACCTCTTTTATGTTTACATGGATGGAACTGGAAAATATTCTTCTTAGTAAAATATTTCAGGAATGGAAAAAAATATACCCAATGTACTCAGTACTACTGTGAAACCAATTTATCGCTCACACATCACATGCATGTGAAAAATGAAACACAATTATAGCCTAGGATGAAGGAGTGAAGGGGTGGAAGAGGGGAAGGGAGGGAGGTAGGTTGATAGAGGGAGGGTTGGTAGGGGGACCACACCTATGGAGCATATTGCAAGTACAAGTTGGATCTCTCAGGTGTAGAGCACAAATGACTTAATTCTGTAATTGGGTAAAAGTGGTGAAGGCTATGTTGTTTAGTAGAATGTAAACCCTCCAATTTGTACAAATAATCAACACATTGAACCCCATAATGGCATAAGTGTATTTATGATCTATGTACAAATGACTGAATAAAAAAAAAGAAGAAAGAAAAATAAATAAATAAATAGTGATTAATTCTATCAGAGTAATTATAAGGTGATTTTTTAAATTAAGTAGTTTGGAAGAAATTATCATAGTCTTCCAAAAAGAAGCTAATAAAATATTGATAACATGTAAAAAAAAAAAAAAAGAAACTCTTACACAAGGCTCAGGGGACTGAAAACTAGTACAACTTCTATGGAAAGTAGTAAGGTGATACCTCAAAGAACTTAAAGTAGACCTACCATTTGATACAGCAATCTCATTACAGGTATTTACCCAAAGGAAAAAATAAGAATTTTATTTAAAAGATACTTGCACTACTACTTACAGTAGCACAATTCACAGTGTGGTATACTATGGAGTACTATTCAAATATAAAAATGTTGATCTAGTATCTTTTATGACAGTCTGGATGGAAATGGAGACCATTCTTCTAAATGAAATATCATAAGAATAGAAAAAGAAACACCACATGTACTCACCACTAAATTGGAAGTAACTGATCAACACTTACATGCACATATGGAAATAAACCTCAACAAAAATCAAACAGGTGTGGTGGGGGAGAAAGGCATGGGTAGATTCATACCTAATGCGTACAAATGCACACTATGTGGGTGGAGGGCACACTCGTAACCTTGACTCTGTACAAAGGCAAGTTATGTAAACAAAATGTCTGTACCCCCTGATATTCTGAAAGTAACAAAAAACACACCCAAATATTCACCCCCAAAGACTGTGAATACAAAGAAATAAATCAGTCTGAATAACACACAAAAAAAGAAATAAGACAATATCCTTGAAGATTCTATTAAACATTATGCTCTGATTTCATCTGGCTTACCTCATCCTGGCAATAGAGATATCAGTAAAAAATACTTTTTACTCTAAGAAAGTGTCTCAACTCCTGTGAGAAATGATATATAAAATTCTCTACTTTACTAAGAGTAAATAGTGTAAGTTTCCTTACTAGTTACTAAAATTCTCTACTTTACTAAGAGTAAATAGTGTAAGTTTCCTTACTATTTACTAAGTAAGTATTCTCTAATAAGAATAAGTATTATTCTTACTAAGTAAGTATTCTTAGTATTCTAAGTATATAAAATTCTCTACTAAGAGTAAATAGTGTAAGTTTCCTTACTAAGTATGTATTCTCTACTTTAAGAATACATACTTAGTAAGAATAATACTTAGTAGAGAATACTTACTTAGTAAATAGTGTAAGGAAAATAGAAGTAATTATAAGAAAAAAATAACAGAATGCAAGGCAGAGTTTCACAAAGAGTTGCAATATAAAGATAATAACATTGTAATAGAATGAATTATAATGAGAATAAAAAGGAAATCTGTTTGATGAAATGATTATAGATTAACTGCTACATGTTAAATTTTAGCTTTACATGACTTCTGGTTTGACTTAATTTCTTGTTTGGATGGCATCGCATCTTCTAAATTAATATGATGTAATGAACCCTTTTGGGACACCTCTGGCATAGACTGCTTTTTTACTGTATCAGCCAGGTCTTGATGAAGTTGTTACAACCTGTTAAGATATTTTTGTTACCAATTTTGGAAAGCATCTTATTATTAAATTGCAATAATATTTATTTTTTTTATTAAATTATGGCTGTGTACGTTAATACAGTCATGGGGTACAGTGTGCTGTTTTTATATACGATTTGAAATATTTTCATCCAACTGGTTAACACAGCTTTCATGTAATTTTCTTAGTTATTGTGTTAAGACATTTATATTCTACATTTAGAAAGATTCACATGTACCCTTAGAGGATGAACCATAGGCGTGATAACTCTAACATACATACTTTGAAAAATATCACCACACACTTTGCTAGAAACAAGGTATGTTACTAGGCTGATAGAGAAAATACATTTATAATCTAGATAATTCTATATTCAACTAGATTCAAACTTTAGCCATAACCAAATATTACTTTAAATTTTCTTTGAGGAAGTTTGAAAATTATTTATCTTTTTGATGCTTGCATCTATTTCTGCTTTGTCTTTTTCATATTGATACAGTCTTTCTTTTAAATGATTATTTTCACTGATCAACTCTTTGTTTCTTCTAGCAGAAGACATTGCATTACACTTGGATACACCGCCCCATAGTAGGACCACTAGCCCTGCATGTATTTAGGAAGATAAAATTTCCTCAAGTTCTTTAAGTTTCTTTTTCCTGAGAATATTCTATAGACATTGTACTTCTGTTAACATTTTTATAGTCAGTCATAAGAGTTACATTGACTGATAAATGACATCATAAACCTAGGCATTCTACTAAGCACTTCAACTAATAGCAATGAACTTAATGATCACGTTTCTGGAAAAAGCTGAAAATCTAAGCATTCTAATTTTCTCAGACCTTTTCACTCTACTTCCAGTGCTTCCTGCCCCCCAAATCACGGTTACTCCTGTGGGTAAATATGTGAATACAAAAGGAGCCTTTTACTTTAAAACACCACTGGTAAATAAGATTCAATGTATAGCACTCTTCTTAGAAAATCATGAGATAATTTGCTATCATATTATTTAATTACTTTTGTTTCCTCTGTGTAAAAAATGTGAAATAGGGGAAATACACTGTACTTTTTTACTAGAAACAAAATATTTACCAATAAATTATCACTGAATACATATTATGACATATTAATTGTTCTCAAAAGCTCTTTGTATCAAAATAAGATACTACTTGGAGAAAACGTACTTTTCTCAAAAGTGAGGAGAATGACATTCTAAACATGGTCTCTGAACTGGTTGTCCTCCTCCTCACCTGTAAGTGGAAATAATAAACTCACTTCTCCATTAATATACCAAGGACATGAAATCACTTCCAGAGGATAGAACATCTCTTTTTCATCTATTGTTCATTATCTATTGTTATTATGAAAATCTCTTTTTAGTAGCTTTGTGATATAGAAAGTATCAATTACTATGGAAATATTAAAACCCTCTTTGGATGAGCCCATAATGAATGTCACTATCTCACCTGGTGCAAGTGAATGGAGTTGAATTAATAACATCGCTTGATGAGAAAAAATGCCACCACCACCACCATTCCAAATATGTGTATTTTATACATACCTCTGCATA